GCCTGATTCAGCTGCTGCTGGTCAGTTTCAGCAGCAGCTGAATCAGGATGCCTGGGGCAGAGCAGATGGGGTGCTGCTGGGTTGGTCCAGAGTTGCTCTGCCTCAGGCTTCCTGGAATCAGCTGCTGATCAGTTTCAGCAGCAGCTGACTTGGGGACGCTTGGGGTTCTTAAGTTGATGCTGTATGTAAGTCAGAACTGGCGTTCAGTTTCAGCAGCGGCTGAATCTGGATGCCAGTTCCAACTTACATACAGATTCAACTGAAGAACAAACCTACAGTCCCTATCTTGTACGTATCCCGGGGACTGCCTGTATACCATTCCTTTAATCAATACCTCCATTTTAAAGTCATTTACCAAGCCATGTATCTGGCCACTGGATGCATTCCCTATGGAGGAGCTGCACTGGACATCTACCTGTGCAGAGCAGTCGTTGTTCCACTCTGAAAACTGCCTATGGATCCCTCTTATTCAATACACTTGCTCCTTGAGGATAGAGGCCCACAAATATGGAACCTCTCAATTCTATTTCTACAGCGCCACTTTTCAGAGCAGAACTGCATTTTGACTCAGACTCTGGCTCATTCAATGGCAGCTTTATTGCTAAACCTCCACACTGATGGGACTTTATTGCTAAACCTCCACACTGATGGGACTGCACACCTTTCCAGCCACAAGCTGACAGCATAAGGTCAAATACTCCTCTCCATTATGCTGGCACCAAGCCAAAAGAAACAACAGGCTCCCACCAGTGTAACAATCAGGAATCTGAATCAACAATATATTTGTGACAATTCAAATAAGCAAAAAGACTCTAAAACCCACAATTCCTGCACAGTGGTTTGGTTAAAATTCATCTTATTATAAGGAGGGCAATGTGCTCATGTAAGTTGTGAGCATGGCAATGTGAGCCTCTGAAAAGCAATGTGTTCTGGGTATGTTAGCATTTTATGATATTTACATAAGCCAGTAGTTTATCATCACTTGTATAACATTAAACTGCAAAAAGGACTACTGGGTCAGGTGGTTAAGCATGTAACATAAAAGTGATATTACCAAATTTGGACTATACAGTAATCTGTCACAAATGTCACACAGGTAAGATTACTGGCTCTCCTTTATGCATAAAACATAGCTGCTTAGTGCTGCCAATTATGAGCGTCACACAAAATTAAATTGTAATTTCCCAAGGAAGTGCAATCCTGTGGACTGCTCTAATTCAGATGAAAGAAAAAAGGGGCAAATGGATTTATTTTGCTAGTGGATCAGTTTGAGTGAAGAAAATAAAACAATAAAATACATAGCGAAGCAGCTCCTTAATATATTTGTCAAAATAAAACTAACAGGCAAAAAAAGTCCATTGATGATCCATACCGTTTTTGACCAGGAAGAAAGAAGGTACATTTTCAAACTCACCTAGGTGCCTTCATAGCTTAAGTCTTACTTCCAAAAGTGAACTAGAACTTCGGCTCAAAAGTCACTTAGGTTAAGGATGTTAAGAAGCAGGTGACTAATTGTGTGGTGGATAAAAATTGCATCGACTACATGATTGTCAATAAGGGGAGGTGCTCTGTCCCAGCTCATGCTGGGTCAAGGAGCTACCCCCACTACTCTGTAGTTTACATGTAGTAGGAGCCGGGCAGCTCTTACTGCATTTAAAATGCAAAGCCACAGCAGTGGTAGGTCCAGGACCCAGTGTGAGCTGGGACTGATCGCTGTGCTTCTGTTCCCGCACCCTCACATCATGGAGATGGCGCTGGGGAAAACTGGCTTTACTGCTTTCTCTCCATCCTTTGCTGCCTCTGATACAGCATCATTTAGCATGGAAACGCTAATTGACTATTCTTTTCCCATTTTTTTCTCCTTTCCTTTCCCTCTCCATGCCTTCTTTTTCTCTGCTATTTATTTGGATCTCGGACCCCTTAAACTCCATTCATCTGAAGAAGTAGGTTGTGCTCATGAAAGCTCATGATACCATCTACACTTTTTGTTAGTCTCTAAGGTGCTGAAGGACAATTAGTTGTTTTTTAAGTTTTTTCTATTATAGACTAACACGGCTACTCCTCTGAAACTTTTGAACCATGGAACTGTGGCTGCATTTTCCTGTTTCCCAAGTGCTAGGAACAAAGATTTCACATTGCAGTAGCAACTCCCTCTTTGTGAAAGTATTCCAGTGCATTTTGTATTAGATTTGATGAAAAGCACCTACAGAGAAATCACTAGTATTTAGTAGGAAGGAAAAAATCCCACTACATGCTATTTCAGAAGAACTGTTAAGGAAATTTACCTTCCAATTGTTTTCAGTTTGCTTCATAAATGTCAATCCATTCTTCAGGTCCGCTTTCATTTCATTTATGTGCGCTATGGTATGGACAGACCATGCATCTGATTGGTTTATAGATAAAGCCTGATGATGGAAAAAGAAAAAAACCACCACAATGTGTACCAACTAGACTACAATTAGCTGTACATACTCATTCAGAAATTGAAAACTATTTTCTCAGGTATAGTAGACATTAAGTATATCTCTGCTAATTACTTCAGTCATATCCTGTGAAACTGGCTTCAGCAGAAAAGGGGAAATCGTTACTGAAGTTCACTTTTGGCATCTACTTAACAGTGATGAGAAGTTACAAAACAGTTTTAGAGAATGAAGGTCTTAATCAAGAGCACCAAATTACTCTTCATTCTACAAACCCTCCTTACACTTCCGCTTCAGATGAATAACACAGCAAGGGCAAAACCATTATTTATCCCCACACTTTCTCTATAGGGATCATATGAGCTGATCACTTGCTTTAAAAGAAAATAATACTACAATTCCTTGCAGTTAACCACTTTTACCATAACAAGAACAAATGCTCCATTAGGTTCAGAGTATCAGACAGATGGATCTTTAGCATTCCAACAATTGCAACGCATTTGCAGAATTCACCACCACCGCCACCACTTTCAATTACAGGCAGTCCCCGGCTTCCTGTAGTCAGCCGCTGGTCAGTTTCAGCAGCGGCTGAATCTGGATGCCAGTTCCGACTTACATACAGATTCAACTTAAGAACCCCAGGCGTCCCCAAGTCAGCTGCTGCTGAAACTGATCAGCGGCTGATTCCAGGAAGCCCGGGGCAGAGCAACTCTGCCTCGGGCTTCCTGTAGTCAGCTGCTGGTCAGTTTCAGCAGCGGCTGAATCTGGATGCCAGTTCCGACTTACATACAGATTCAACTTAAGAACCCCAGGCGTCCCCAAGTCAGCTGCTGCTGAAACTGATCAGCGGCTGATTCCAGGAAGCCCGGGGCAGAGCAACTCTGCCTCGGGCTTCCTGTAGTCAGCTGCTGGTCAGTTTCAGCAGCGGCTGAATCTGGATGCCAGTTCCGACTTACATACAGATTCAACTTAAGAACCCCAGGCGTCCCCAAGTCAGCTGCTGCTGAAACTGATCAGCGGCTGATTCCAGGAAGCCCGGGGCAGAGCAACTCTGCCTCGGGCTTCCTGTAGTCAGCTGCTGGTCAGTTTCAGCAGCGGCTGAATCTGGATGCCAGTTCCGACTTACATACAGATTCAACTTAAGAACCCCAGGCGTCCCCAAGTCAGCTGCTGCTGAAACTGATCAGCGGCTGATTCCAGGAAGCCCGGGGCAGAGCAACTCTGCCTCGGGCTTCCTGTAGTCAGCTGCTGGTCAGTTTCAGCAGCGGCTGAATCTGGATGCCAGTTCCGACTTACATACAGATTCAACTTAAGAACCCCAGGCGTCCCCAAGTCAGCTGCTGCTGAAACTGATCAGCGGCTGATTCCAGGAAGCCCGGGGCAGAGCAACTCTGCCTCGGGCTTCCTGTAGTCAGCTGCTGGTCAGTTTCAGCAGCGGCTGAATCTGGATGCCAGTTCCGACTTACATACAGATTCAACTTAAGAACCCCAGGCGTCCCCAAGTCAGCTGCTGCTGAAACTGATCAGCGGCTGATTCCAGGAAGCCCGGGGCAGAGCAACTCTGCCTCGGGCTTCCTGTAGTCAGCTGCTGGTCAGTTTCAGCAGCGGCTGAATCTGGATGCCAGTTCCGACTTACATACAGATTCAACTTAAGAACCCCAGGCGTCCCCAAGTCAGCTGCTGCTGAAACTGATCAGCGGCTGATTCCAGGAAGCCCGGGGCAGAGCAACTCTGCCTCGGGCTTCCTGTAGTCAGCTGCTGGTCAGTTTCAGCAGCGGCTGAATCTGGATGCCAGTTCCGACTTACATACAGATTCAACTTAAGAACCCCAGGCGTCCCCAAGTCAGCTGCTGCTGAAACTGATCAGCGGCTGATTCCAGGAAGCCCGGGGCAGAGCAACTCTGCCTCGGGCTTCCTGTAGTCAGCTGCTGGTCAGTTTCAGCAGCGGCTGAATCTGGATGCCAGTTCCGACTTACATACAGATTCAACTTAAGAACCCCAGGCGTCCCCAAGTCAGCTGCTGCTGAAACTGATCAGCGGCTGATTCCAGGAAGCCCGGGGCAGAGCAACTCTGCCTCGGGCTTCCTGTAGTCAGCTGCTGGTCAGTTTCAGCAGCGGCTGAATCTGGATGCCAGTTCCGACTTACATACAGATTCAACTTAAGAACCCCAGGCGTCCCCAAGTCAGCTGCTGCTGAAACTGATCAGCGGCTGATTCCAGGAAGCCCGGGGCAGAGCAACTCTGCCTCGGGCTTCCTGTAGTCAGCTGCTGGTCAGTTTCAGCAGCGGCTGAATCTGGATGCCAGTTCCGACTTACATACAGATTCAACTTAAGAACCCCAGGCGTCCCCAAGTCAGCTGCTGCTGAAACTGATCAGCGGCTGATTCCAGGAAGCCCGGGGCAGAGCAACTCTGCCTCGGGCTTCCTGTAGTCAGCTGCTGGTCAGTTTCAGCAGCGGCTGAATCTGGATGCCAGTTCCGACTTACATACAGATTCAACTTAAGAACCCCAGGCGTCCCCAAGTCAGCTGCTGCTGAAACTGATCAGCGGCTGATTCCAGGATGCCTGGGGCACAGCAACAGGTATTTGGTCCTGCTGTGAAGGCAGGGGTCTGGACTCGATGACCTTTCAAGGTCACTTCCAGTTCTAGGAGATAGGCAAAAAAAAAATTATGAGGATGCAACACATGAATAGCTACAAATTCAGCACAGCTGCTTACTTTTGTTTAGTTAATTTTAAATGGTCATAAGCCATTCCTCTCAAATGAACATCTGCTCACTAAATAAGATCAGGAATTAAAAGCCTTTTAGTACTAATGATGTCAAGCTTACCTCAGTAGCGAGCTTTTCAGCATGATCAAACATGTTAGTTTCCATCAGTCCAAAAGAGAAAATGCCTTTCACATAGCTAAACAATAAGAAAACCCCATTTAACACTAGGCAGATAAAGCTAATATTTCAAAACACATGAAAATAATGTCATACAAAATAATACCGATACTGTTAGCAGCAATAAAAAATAGTAGAAAAAAGAAAAAGAGCATGGACTCTAATTGTCTTCCCCTACAAGGAAATGACCAACTTTTTCTTTCCCAGCAAACACTGAGAAGACATGTATTCACATGTTGTGCCAACTACACATAAACCTTTATAAGAACTTAGGGTCACCAAATGAAATTAATTGGTAGCAGGTTTAAAACAAAAAGAAAGTTTTTCTTCACGCAGCACACAGTCAACCTGTGGAACTCCTGGCCAGTGGATGTTGTGAAGACCAGGACTTTAACAGGGTTCAAAAAAGAACTAGATACATTCATGGAAGTTAGGTCCATCAATACTTATTAGCCAGAATGGGTGGGAATGGTGCCCCAAGCCTCTGTCAGGGTCTGGAAATGGATGACAGGAGAGGGATCACATGATGATTACCTGTTTCTTTTCAGTCCCTCTGGGGCGTCTGGCATTGGCCACTATCAGAAGAAGGGATACTGGACTAGATGGGCCTTTGGTCTGACCCAGTACAGCCATTCTTATGTTTAGAGTATTATTGATTTTCTACTGGATAACAATTAACTGCATCCCAGGGCTACATTTCCCCCTCAGCTCTGTTTCTCTCTTTTGAAGTCCTGTAATTTACCTGATCCCAAATAAGTCAATGGAAGCCTCTTCATCTTCTAGCCTGCTATACAGCTAGTAAATGCACCAAAGATATATCTAGGATTATATTAACAATTTACAGAAAATTTACAATTTTATCCCAACTAAAAGAATCTAAGACTAACTCTTTGAAGCCTTGTCTACACTAACTCCTACTATCAATCTAATCTACATGACTTCAGCTCCACAAATAGCATAGCTTAAGATGGCATACTTACTGCAGCATCTAGCGTATGGTAAGGTCAGCAGAGATTGCTCTCCTATCAATACTGATAGAAATGTAGCCGTGTTAGTCTGGTGTAGCTGAAACAAAATACAGGACTATGTAGCACTTTAAAGACTAACAAGATGGTTTATTAGGTGATGAGCTTTCGTGGGCCAGACCCACTTCCTCAGAAGAAATAGTGGAAGAAAACTGTCACAATCATATATACCAAAAGATACAATAAAAAAAATGAACACATATGAAAAGGACAAATCAAATTTCAGAACAAAAGGGATATGAGGAGGGGGAAGGTAAATGTCTGTGAGCTAATGATATTAGAGGTGATAATTGGGGAAGCTATCTTTGTAATGGGTAAGGTAATTAGATTCCTTATTCAGACTCAGGCGTAAAGTGTCGAATTTAAGCATGAATAACACCTAATAAGCTCATCACCTAATAAACCATCTTGTTAGTCTTTAAAGTGCTACATAGTCCTGTATTTTCTATCAATACTGGCTACTCTTTTCTCCTGGTGGAGTGCTAGCATTGACAAGAGAGTGCCCAGAGTTTGATTTACTGCATCTAAGCAGACATGATAAATTGACCGCCGGTGGATCAATAGCTGCAGCACTCATCCCCGGTATAGTGGAGACAAGCCCTAAAAATCAGTCACTAAAATGCTAGCGAACTCCTGAGTAAGCTGTGGTGGATACAAGGAATCTGAAGAGGTTCACATCCTTCCATTACTATAGTTAGAAGGAACGGAGGCAGCTTGAAATGTGCATTATTTTTATAACCTCACCCTCAGAATGTTGGGGAAAACTGCAGGGAAGGAAAGAAAGGACATGTGAATGGTTCTGTCTGGAAAAGCTATGAGAAAAGCTACCTTCTCCGTACACCATCTAAGCTGGCAAATCTCATGAGTGGGAAAACACTGATGACATTCAAAGATGCCGCTCAGTTAAAAACAACTGAAGTGTGGGTCCGTAGGAAAGCAAGAAGAGATGTTAATTCTTACATGCATATTTTTAAAGCCAGGGTGATTATTTAGAACTCCTTTAGCTATCCTCAAACAGAGATTACAGGGACTACCAGAGTTTGTGTGCTGCCCCTACAGACATTGCTGACCAGAGACATCTTAATTTATGTATACAAGGCACATTCACACAGAAGTGGAGATCCATAGAAAACATCTGAAGATCAACTCTTGCATACCTACTAAGAGGAATATTAGGAGTCCAATGAGGATATACACGGGCAACAGAGTCTCGCATCTGTGTAAGATATCCAAGATAAAAGTAAGCGTCATGGGCAAATTTGAGAGCTAACATATCAGTTGGATGATCCTGCAGAATTTTATCCCATATGTCACAAGCTTTAGGAAGACACCTACAGAGAAAAAAAAAACATTATTTATTGACAGGGCCAGCATAATCGAATTGCCTGAATCTCATTATCTCTCAACTTATACTCCAGTCAAATAAAAAAATCTACTGACAGTTCCCTATCTTGAAAGAACATCTCTGTGTATACATGAGTGCCCCAGGAAGGCAGTTTAACACTTTCTAGACAACATGTAAAAGGTATTCTTTGTTACTAGTAGTGCAGGGAGTACAGGGATTCCTTTGGGTCTTCAGGGGGTGGGGATTCCTTTTAGATCCTGATACTGCATGTTGATCCATGTAAAAAGAGATTTACCTCAACAGATTTAAAAATCAACATTTAAAAATCAACATTTAAAATCAACATGGCTCCACAAAAGCACAGGGATCCAGCCATGCAAATCAAATACCATGGGTCAGGGCTTTGGTGATCTCGTCTCTTGCCTTTGTTATTAAATAACTCCCACACCACGCTAAAATTTCCAGTGATTATACGTTTACATAAATACCCATTAGTTTACATCCATACTTTGCATGCTAGATTAAGCATTTAATTATTTAAGTGGAATGAAATATGCCAGAGTAACAGTAAAAATGTGAACAGAAATGGCAACACACAACCACGCTGTACATAGTCTGAATGATACAAATCAAACCCTCTCCACTCCTCTCCTAAAAGCCAACCACTTACCCACTGGCAAACATGTCTAGTGCAGACACATGTAGCTTCTCCCTCTCAGTCAATGACTGCGATTCTGAGAGTGCCATCATCTTTTTCATCGCACTGTCCAGCTCTTTGTCTAATCTCACTGAACTCCCAGTGCCAATCAGAACCAAGCCATTGGCAATCACATGTCCCATCGCTAAAGAAAGCATAATGGAAAAATTTAGACACATAGAACTGCAGGCAATTTAACAGATGAAGAAAGTCTAGGCTAAACTGTTATATATTTAAATGGGAGCCACAGGGAGTAGATGGCAGGAGTACTAGAGACAGGTTAGGACCCCACAGAAAGTCCAGGTATCTAAGGAAGAACCATACACTAGACAGCATTCCTTGAAGTCAGCGGCAGCCCCACTGTGGGAAAGCTGGTAGCAGTCCTGCACTACTTTACCTAAAGCAGTGGTCTCCAACCTTTTTAACCACGAGATCACTTTTTCAATGTAAGATCTACCTCAAACTCAAATATCCTTGCCCCCACTTCCTTCCCACCTCTTCTTTGAGGCCCTGCCCCTGCTCCATCCCTTCTCCAGGACCTCACCCTGCTCACTCCATCCCTCTTCCTCCACCATCCTCACTTTCACCAGGCTGGGGTAGGGAGTTTGGGTGCAGACTCTTGGTCTTGGGCCAAGGGGTTTGGTTTGTGGGAGGGGCTCTGGGCTTAGCCCAGAGTGGTGGTTTGGGGTCAAGGAGGGCTTTCAGGGTGCAAGCTCTGGGAAGGAGTTTGGGTGCAGAGGGACTCACGTCTGGGGCAGGAGGTTGGGTTTAGGAGGAGGTTCAGGGCTGGGACGAGTTCAAGATGCAGCATCTGGCTGGGCACTGTTTAGCTGAGACAGCTTACTCCCACCCTACCCCTGCACTACTCTTGAAAGCGGCTGGCATGTACAGCATGGCTCCATGTGCTGCCCTTTGTCTACGTCATGTACAGCATGGCTCCATGTGCTGCCCTTAGTCTACATGCACTGAGTCCATAGCTTCTACTGAACACAGTTCCCTGTTACTGATCAGTGGAAGCTGCAGGAGACCCCCTGCTCTGCCATTCTCAGGGGCTGCAGGGACATGCCAGCCACTTCCAGGAGCAGCAGTTACCATAGGGATGACTACTCCAGTCACAGCAGGTTAGGCATTTTAGAGCTCACTACTCAAAGAATCACATTTAAATGTAAGAGAGAAATAAAAATTATGAAATGCACAGACCAGTCAAAACCCGAAAAATAACCTACTTTGCAAGCAGTAAAAGAAGTAACAACAGCCCCGCATATACGTGTTGGGTCAGGTGATGAGAGGGAAGGACAGTGTGTATTAGTGAGACTGACTGACAGACACACACACTGTGTGAGAATGACAGGGGTTTGCATTGCTAAGCTCCCTCCAACTCCTTCTCTCTGTGTGGAGATGGGGTACATGAGTGGGTGGAGGAGAGACACCCTGACATCAATGCCCCCCTTCTTCTCCCTCCCACAGCCTGCACAGCAAGCAGGAGGCTCCCAAGGGGGAAGCTCCAAAGCAGAGAGCAGGAGCAGCATGACAGTGGGTGCAGGGACTACTGAAGTGCCAGCACTTGAGAGCTTCCTGGTCAAACCAGTCAGGATCACCTGTCAGAGTCTCCAAGATCTACCGGTAGATCCCAATCTGCTAGTTGGGGACCACTGACCTAAAGGGTCCATAGCCACTGAGCCTCGCCGTTCACATTGGTTCCAGCTCACTGTTTCTAGCCACAGGAAGCCCGGGAAGCTCATTGGTTAACAGCATACACATTTACATGTTTATATCCCTAAATCTTAGTTCATAAGACATCAATATTTCCCTCCTATTATTTCACGTTTGCTTTTTTAAAAATTATCACACTCAAGGAAAGAAAAAAAAAGGCCGGCTAGAAAAAGTTCTAAATGAAAACAAAGCTATACTAACCTAGCCGTTCAGCTTGTGTGTATGTGGAATAAGTTAACCATATAAAACTGCTGTACTGCATATCAAGCAATTAAAAAGTTATACTTACTAAAAGTTGGATCTGCAGCATGTAACTTGGAGAGACATCCCTCTATACCTCCTAGACTCTTATCATTGGTCCATGTAACATACTGTAAAATAGAGCATGAAAACTGACTAGAAACCAAGTGAAATCAATGTTTGTATTCATGCTTCCAGTTGACTGAAATTTAAAAGTAAACAACATAAATGGTAAAAAGTGAGACTTTATTTTTTTCAGTGGTAATTATCTCTGGCCAGGTCTACACTGCAAAGTTAGATTATAAGGTATCGTCTCTCAACCTATTCATGTATGTCTATACTCAAATTTGCCTCCAGCCAACATAAGCACTCTATTACAGTGGGGTAGTAACTAGGGATGTTAACTGAATAATAGATTAGGCTCATGAATTCTTATCAGTTACTCGACTACCCTATAGTCCTTGGGAGTAGGGCTGGCAGTGAGTGTGCTCTGGCTCCACTCCCGAGGAGCTGCCTACCACTCTGAGCTGTTAGCACTGCACACCACAGCACACCAAACCGTGCATCAACACAAGTACCGTAGGTTAGTATATGCAGTGCCAATCCAATTAGCCAAATATGCATGCATATGAGTGATATGCTAACTGTGGTAACTTTAGGTCAATGTAATTTGCATTGCCCAAAGTTTGTAGGACAGACAGTGCCTTTGATGTCATCGATAATATATAAGGAAATCAGTTTCTTTACAACAGAGTTTTGTTAACCTGACTCTCCTTTTGATTCAGAAAGAGGAAACAATTTAATAATCAGCTGCCAACAACACTATTTTATGCTTGCAGTTCAAATAATAATTTATCAAAACCCATACCTGAGTAAGTGTGGCATCAAACATTTTGCAGGCCTCATTACTTGTGGTGGATAGGACAAGTCCAGCATCCTGCCAGGCCTATATGAAAAACAAATAGTGAGACTATTCATTGAACACATTGATTTTTCGGATGTCACAAAGAAGCAGAAGAGTGGATTTCCAATAGATTTCATCTACCTAAAATTTTACATGAAGCTAAGCCAGGTAAGTCTTTTACTCTACTAAAATTATATTTGAGGAATCTTCTGAATGGTATAGGGAAGATGGAATGGAAGTGGTGAAAGACAGACAAGAAAAAATGCATCAGGATATGTCTGCCAACGATATGATACAGATCTTGTAATTTTAGAACCAGTCTCTCTTTAAACCTCAGTGGCATGCTAGTTTCAACATTTCAGGTACCTTTCAAAATGGATATGTGGCAAAATGAAATCCTTACTTTGCTACCTGTCCAAATCAACAACCCCAATTATACCTAAGGCCAATTACCTGCTGTTTTAAATCCACTTAAGTAAACTGAGTTACATCAGCAGAAATTTGACCTAAGGATTACTTTATAGGAGCTAGTAGGGCAGAGATGCATAGTAAACATCTCATGTGATAACTGAGGTTTTAGATCTACACAGCAATATACTGCTAGACAGAAGACTTCCATTATCTGGATGGGGTGATTTATGCTTTACACACAGGTGTGGTTGGCTGTAGTAAACTGCTTCACTTTTGTCCTTAAAAATATTCCTAAAAGAATCCCAATAGTGAGATGAGAAATTTGATGACCATTCAAAAAATCCATAATCTGACATCAAATTGTTGGTGCAACCTTAATTCTGCTCCTTTGTGCATCTGCGTGCTTTCCTTATATAATACATTAAAACTCCATTGGTCCGATATCGGAAACTTTGCAGAATAAGAGCAGAGTCACATTCTGTGCTAGGTCCAAGTTTTGAAAGGATTTAAATTAGACTGTAGTATAATAATCTAGCCTTATTGTGAAAAAAAGAATGGATAACTATAGTAAGATCCTGCATAAAGAAAGAAGTCACAACTTCCTTGCTAAATACATGAATAAAACCAGTCTTAGCAAGTGTAACAACCTAAATATGTAGAAGCAACTGGGACTCCAATATGACAATCAGGTTGAAACTCTTAGAAACATTTAGGGGACATAGTCCTAATTTGGAGGACTGATTAATTTCTGCTGTTTCTTCTGGCTATTTCCCCATTCTTTAAGATTCATCTCTGTACAGTAAAACTCCAGTGGTCCGGCACCATCTGGAACCCGGAAGTGCTGGACAATTGGAGCTGCTTTGCCCCCGGCTTCCCCGATTCAGCCGCTGGTCAGTTTCAGTAGCAGCTGACTTGGGGAAGTCTGGGGCAGAACAGCTGGGGTGCTGCTGGGTTGGTCCCGCAGCGCCATGGGGCACATCCCCCCCCACTCCACTCCAGACTCCTCATAGCCCCCCCCCTTCCAATAGTCCGGCATATTTGATAATTCAGCACCATGCGGGTCCTAAAGGTGCCGGATTATCGGAAGTTTACTGTTTACTATTTCTTTTGCAGAGGATGCATGAACAAGGGAGCAGAATTAAGGCGGCACCAAACTTCATATGCCGGATCAATTTTGCAACCTAAACCTTCTTTTACTTTAGATTTTTGCATGTAATCCCAACGCACAGATTTCCCTCTCTCTGTCTTTAAAGATCTCACTAAAGCCTCATAAGATTGCGTGAGCTCCTCGGGACGCAGAGCCATGTCCATCAGATTTTATCCAGGATATAATGCCAGGCGAACTTAAAGGACCTGTGGTCAAACGCAAAAGCTCAGCTCCAAAGATCGCCCACGGCAGCGGCACGGGTCAGAATGACACCCCCCTGCGAGAGAGAGGGCTCACTCCTCGTTTTCAGACAGATGTGACCCGCTTGCATGAGGGATGGGACCCAGGAGTCCTGACCCTTAGCACCGAGTCAGCTCCCAACCCCAGCACGGGCGCCGGCAAATGGGGGGGACTGTGGGAACTGTGCGTGTGTGTCAGGCGGGGTGGGAGCAGGGACACTGGG